GTTCTTCAGTAAGATTGTATCCTGGTTCAACATCAATATTGGTGATTTATTTATTGGTATTGATGATTCATGTATCTGATTTGGTGAAAATATGCCATGAGCGAACCCCATTATTTCTGCTAATAGAATTTGGATGTGTCAGATCAATTTCATATTTGGATCGCATTTCACATTTGAATGTATTATCATTGGCGTGTAGGTGAAAAATGTCATCCGCAACAATATCAATGGATTTTCTATGAAACAACTTGAACATAATATGTTTCTGTATGACGGCATTGATCTCTTCTATTTCGTAAGCACCACATGGAATTTCAATTTTGTACTCTTGGAGTATCGATGAGTTGTCCTCACTGATTCTTAAACTCATTAAATTATCAGCTTCAGTTATATTATTGATTGTACCGCACTCAAGACACTTGTCCCGACCGCTTATAGCTCGAACTTTCGTGACATGACTGATTTCAATTTATTGTTGGGCACAGCAACAGCACATCTGAGACAATTTACACTTTTTCGAAGGTGTTGTATTGTAATAAATATCATTTTTATTGATAGCGATATTCATATCCTCTATATTACAAATACAACATACAGATTTTCGAGGTATAGGACCATCATTCATATCCGAGTCTGAATTTTCATCGGGATGGTGTTCGTAATAATATCTATATTTCATTATGTCGATATCATCTTGTAGATGTTTGGGTAACTTTTCCCAAACATATGCAATCTCATGTGCAACACATGCAAGTATCACTTCCTTGGGCATATTTGCAAGCATCACTTTATCCATTTTTTTCAAGGTACCATATTTTGAAAACATTCTAAGTGAAAACCCCATTACCTTGATAGCCTACCGATCCAGTTTTGGTGTTGTATCTATTTTTATCTGGAAAATCATTCAGAGAGAAACTGTTAGCACGAGTGACCACAGAGAACTCTATTAAATTTCTACTAACGATCATAGTTACATTTGATTTTTACATTCGAACATTTTCGAAAGAATCGAGTAAATTCCAATGGTGGGGGTAGATCTCCGAAACTATCGAAATATGCAACTTCTTTCTCTCATTTTTCATATGCCACCCAATGTGTTCCTGGTACACTTATTCCATCTAAAGTGACAATAGCTGTCTCGTTTTATCTTGGACCTGAAGAGGGTAATTTGTCACGCATAAAAACACCACGACAATGTGGAATTTTCATTTTTTGTGCATAATAACTGAGATCGATATCGGTGAAAAGCCTCTGAGGTAGGGAATCAATTAGTTTTTTGTTTTGTTTGCGGGTTTGTATGGTTTTGAATATAGTCCTAAACCTTTACGGTACGGTTCAAGGTATATTCCACTTTCGCATCCGCTCAATGCAACAGCCTCCAAGGTTTTATTGTGACGATTGGCTTTCATTAAAGCCGCTCTGCTGGCTTTTGCTGAACTCACGGCCTTGGTAATACCAGCAGCGGCTCCCGCCAAACTCCCTAGTGCGGATAGTCCAGCAAAAATTGGTATCAATGGCAAAAGTCCACCGATCTTGGGAACAGGAATTATACGGGGTGTGCGGATTTTCTTCTTTCCACCGGCACCTTGAGGTATCTACGTGCCACCTGCAATGCCACAGTGATAGCTTTCTTGCTAGTATCCGTTACAAATTGATCCTCGCCAGCTTTCTTCAATACATTTCGCACTTTATGGACTATCCCAGCACCAAATGCAACTTTTCTAATTTTACTTTTCTCCGTTTGTTTCCTCTTACTTTTTTTCTTATTGGTGCTACATCTCATGCCCATTTGTCTTCTTGCTTTTATAATGTTGGTGACAAGTAATGCAGCTGCTCTTTCCCCAATACTCGCGTCCTTCAATTTAACCCTAACCCGAGCGCTGTATTCAAGTTCTTTGTCGGACAAATGTCTTGCTGCAATATCGGATGGATGCTTAGAATATTGAATATCGTGTTTTTTGCATTCAATATCTAATTTATTGATTCCAGGATCGTTGCGAGCTAAACGTTGTTTCAATTTTGTACCTGGTCCACAGTATTGATAACCTGCGGGTATATGTAATTCGACAGGAAGTTTGTTCATTAAATCATTAACAAACCATAACCTTTTTCAATTTTACGATCATTTTCAATACGTCCGTATCGTTTGATGGTACACATTGAAATTAATAACCTAATAACATTTATAAAGTCTTCAACCACGGTACGATGCGCATTGTGAAACAGAAAGAAAAGTTTGCTGTAAATAATCTAGATGAGAAATTTGGGTGTGGATTGAATGGACAAAGAGTATTCAGACATGGTGCACTACTTCCATCATCAGTTCGAGGAATCATTATAGGACCTTCAAATTGTGAAAAGACGAATGCAATAATATCGCTATTAACACATCCACAAGGACTGTTACGTATTTATGAATGAAGTAATGTTAAATTTCATTATTGTTTTCATTTCAATTATATGTATGTCAATTGAAAAATATTTCAGCGGTAAACGTTGCCACAGCCATTCGCAACGTTCTGTGTATACCAAACCAAATTAATTGTATACTCCATTCCCGCTTATATTTTTCAACTCACGATATTGAAAACACATTATCATTCCCAAAACTAATCGCCGTCACTTTGAAATGCACTCTCCAACACTTTTCGCCAATTATCTCTCACTGATAATGCCGCTTCATGAAGTTGAGTCGACTCCTCAAGCTCTGCCTGAGCTCGCAATCTCGAACGTTGATTGAATTGGTGATCTTTCATAGTTTTTGAACGGAGTTCATCTGCATCTTTACACATTTTAACCGATTCAAATTTAGCTAATGCAATCTTGGCATCTAATGCTTGAAGAGTGTCCTCATCAACATTAATAGTTCGCTTACACTTTTCATGTTCCTTCACCAGGCGGCATTTTGCTTTCATATCTCCAACCGATGTAGTTGACTGAAAGAAGATAGCGATTCAGCTTTCAAATCACCCTTCATTTCTTTAGGTACACCTTTTGTCTTCTTCGATCTGTCACTTTTCATTGTGGGTTTTTTCTCTCGCACAATACTTTTCGATTGTTTCTTTTCTTTGAAGTCAGTGACAATCGATTAAGATGCATTAGTGACCTTCCTCTTGATTGTTCTAGATTTCTTATCAACACCAAGAAAAAGAATAGATGAAGGGTATTTGAGTGGTGATAATTGCGAAACGATTGGATTTTCAACAATTTGCTCAATTCGTTCCGGCACATCTGCAAAGTTAACGAAGTTGTTAATATCAAAATCATTTATCGACCTTCGACTCGATAAATGTAATACTGTAATATTTTCAAAATCAGTGTGTGTGATTGATATCAACAAGTGGTGAACCATCTTCAGCAATCAGTAGCGGCATAGAGCTCATGATAATGATTATTCGGGTCTGAGGAATGATATGTGATAGCAATAGAATGTGAATAGGAAAGGTGATGATGTTACTCATACTTTACCTTTTATAGAAGAAAATTAACTAGCGCATGCACCCTTTCATCAACTAGCACATGCGTTCTTTCACTAAACTATTCACGCATGTGACGATCTTTCTCATTTAAGAGGAACACTTTGTGTTGTATGCATTTTTAAAATGTGAGAAAATAATACAAATAGATTCAAAATAATATATTTATTGATAATATTTATTACAAAAACGGTAATAAAAATGTTAATGTGTCTCTGTTGATATGGAATGTTCTTTGATTCTCTCCTCAATATTTGTTGTTCATGTGTTAGACACCAACATTGAGAGAAATGAATTCTCCTATTGCGGTAGAGTTGACCAACCATCTCACATAGATCCCAAGTACTTCTACATGTAGTGCATATATGATTCCAACAATTATTTGAGTATGTATCACAACCCAAACAACGTTGCAGCGGAGCTGGAACAGCAGCACAGGTACTACAAATATTTCTGAAAATACCCATATCATTGAATATTATAGGTTCGGAACACTTCAGGCACTGTAACTGTTGCTGACGATATTCTGATTTTGTTCGCTTCGGTGGATGAGATGGAGGCGATAGCTGAATCCGCGACACACAATCACTGCACATACCAGTGCAATGATGTTGGAGTCGATGAAGAGGAGATTGACCTTGGAGTCGACGAAGATGGAAACGAGGTTAATGAAGGCGACAAAGATGAAAACGAGGCTAATGAAAGCGACGAAGATGATGACGTGATGGAGCTTGAGAGAGCCGTGGATGGTGAAGGCGATGATGAAGGGATTATAGCTAATTCATCTGAAGGTGATGGTGGTTTGAGAATTGGTCTCCGATTGCTCAACATCACCGACACATTAGAAGACCCCATGGATTTATATTGCGCGATAGACGCACATGTGCAGATCAGAATAATTGATGACAACATCAAAATGCTATGTTGATGTTGTTTTCGTTTTTACTCCATTAGAAACAACCCACAACTCCGTTTCAATGATGGAATTGGGACAGAATTGGTGCTATGCTTGCGAGAGACCCCTAACAAACTTCACCCGAGTGTCGACATGTATAATATGCAATAATGTCAAACCTGTGACACAATAACCGTGGACCTACTGGTCATAGAAAACAACAACCTTTTTCAAGGCTACATTATTCATACAAACAGTAGTAGAAGTAGTATTCACAGATTATGTGACAAATGACTACTTTGACTAAAAAAGTCGAAGTTGGAAATTTGTAAGTAAGTCATTGAATATATGTGCATTATATGACAAATTACTTCAACTGAAAGTTGAAGTTGGCAATTTGTCAATCATTGAATATATATGCATATAATGATGAGTACTACAGAGTGGGATGATGGTACTTTCACATACATTTTGTTCAAGACTATAATGTTAACCTAATGTTAACAATGGTATGAACCTGTTTCTTTTTGAATGTATAATGATAGCTCTGATAAAGCTGTTTTTGTTTCAGTCTTCAATTGTAGCCCTGAAAAGGGCTGTTTTTTTATTAACCCATGCAATGTTATGGACTAAGGCTCCTCATCATCAGAAACAATAATGATGGTGTCGTCTTCTGAATCATCTGAATCAGACGATATACTAATGGCATCGTCCGCATAATCATCTAGCTCGTTATCCTCTAGATCGTCTAACTCGTCGACACCCATCTCTAACTCTGCATCTACTTCCTCTTGCATACCTTCTCCTATACGTTCCGGGAAATCATCAGGAAGATCATAGATGCGTTGCAGAAATTGTGCGAAGGCTGTACTGAAATGATCGAACGTTGAATCTATTTCATGTACCTGGATGGGTCCTGTACTCGACATTGTGGAAGAATGATGTAGAACTGGGACTGTTGCTATATTTCTATTGGAAAAAAATGGAGGGGGTGAAGTGTAATTGTAGAACAATTCAGTGTTTGAAATTCAAAAGCATCAAGAATGATGATCTTCATGAAACTCTGAGTGATTATTATGAGAAACTCCGAGTGATTATTATGAAAAACTAATAAGGGAGAGGGTGGAAGACACTGCTCCTTCCTCGCAGTGCTCCGTGTACACCAACCAAAGAGTGTGTACTCCATGGAAGGAAAGGATTAAGGGTGGGAGAAACGAGAAAACGATTACATATCGTCATCAGAATTGAGGACCTCATCAAACGGGATAGGGGATGGCGGAGGACTATCCTCGATGAGGATTGGGGATGGTGGAGGACTATCCTCGATGAGGATTGGGGATGGTGGAGGACTATCCTCGATGAGGATTGGGGATGGTGGAGGACTATCCTCGACTTTCTCGGACTCATCGTCATCGTCTCCCCAGGGCAGTGGATCATCATCGAAATTATAGTTATCCGGGTACTCGCCATCAAATAGGTCCGCTTCGTCGGTGCCGGTAACATGCAGCACCTGCACTCCATGATCATGAGTCATGTATTCATACTCAATCCAGTGAGGTGTTGTGTTGGAGTGAACAAAACTTTTTTGGATGGACATGTAGTCATCCATCCGAGGCTCCGGGAATCGGTATGGCTCGGTGGTTGAATCTGGTTCCATGTTGAAGCTAGCTGATCAACTAAATATTCCATCAGCTAATGCCTACTTTTATACTTTTGAAAGGGAGTGAGGGAGGAGTGGGGATGAATTGCAGAATGACATAAGCTATATTCAATGAAATTGAATGGATAAAATACAATATGAATTATATGAAATTATACTTGTTAATTTCATTATGAAACATGTCTTTTTTTATTTTCTTCTCAAGAGATTATTTACAAGAGATTAGAGATCACAAAAATTGTTCTGAGAATGATAAGAATGAGTGAAAAACAATGCACCAACCATCGCATTGTTCAATGTGTACCAAACCAAAACAATGTACACCCTTTATTTCACTTCTTTTTTTTTAATCACAAATATAAGCTCAAAACTACCATGATTGAGTATTTCTAATTAACCTAAAACTAATCTTTTATTTATAATGAATCTACGAAAAATGTGTCCATAATTGTCTCTAACTTTTTGTACCGTTCTATCGAAGAGGTCTCTGCTTTATATCTTTCCTCCAGAGATGCATACTTCCGATCTAGTTCGGCCATTCCTTTATCTAGTTCGCTCCGTCGGTTAGCAATTTCAGCTTTTTGACGGGTCATGCTAACCAACGCGGCCTCACTAGCTCGAGAAGCATGTTCTGCTTCCCTGCACCTCTGTAGGAAAGTTTTCATCTTTTCACTCACCTCTCCGATAGGCTGTGGCACTGGCACTTGTGGCACCAGCACCTGTAGATTCGCCGGTGTCGGTGGCAGTGGTGAAAGCGGCACCGCCAACGGGGTCAATACGACGTCCTCCGGAGAAGGCACCTTCAGTGTTTCCACTGCTGCTGCTGGCGCCCTCGGTGTTTCCACTGGTGCTCCTGCCGTTTCCACTGCTGCGGTCACTGCTGCTGCGGGCGCCCTCGGTGTTACCACAGGTGCTGCTGCTGCTGTTGCGGATGATGTGGAGGGTCTTGAGCTCTTACGAGCGGTCGGCCAACTGCCTGCATGAAGATTAGTCTTATTGCAGGTACTGCTGAACTTTTCAATAGGACCAAACCTTGCTGCCGGTTGTAGATAGACTTTCTTCTAAACCCTGTCTTCCTCGAATAAGTCAGGACTGGGAACTCGTCGCTTACCACTCGAAGTTGTTGCCTTCTCCTGATTGACCACCAGCATGATCGATGCCACAGCGTTGTTCACCTCCTGAGTGTTGGATTGCATTCTGAAAATGTAGAATAATACAAAGTTAGTTGATATAAAATGTTACATTGTTAACTTACTCAAAATTCTGCTTGTTGACTGGACTGGACTGGACTGATCTCGATGAGTTGACTCGTCGTACTGAATGTTGAGGAGTGCTCTCCTTGGGGTATAGGCGTGCATGCGCGAGTGGTGAAAGTGGAACGGGAGCGCGCATGCGCAATGGTTGGAATGGGGGTGGGGGCATGCATGCGCGAATGATGGGAGTTGAGGGCGAGGCGGTGGGCGGGGCCCCGGTGTGGTGGGCGGGGTCCCAAGGGGATTGAAGGGGCCGGAGTGTGCGGGGCCCTGGGACCGAAGAGCGGGGCCTCGCGCTTTGGGCTTCAGTATCCCCGATAAAGAGTGCGCTTTGCGCGCGGATGCACGGAATACATTCACCATGTTCGTTCAATTGATACGTCATCTGTTGGTTTTGGTTCTATAATTCTAACATTTGGATTAATGTCCATTACTGGGGTATCCAGGAATGATGTATCCACCTGATGAAATGACTTCATGTTTTTTCTCCAAAACTACTACTTTCTGTTCTGAAGCATCATATTTTTTCATCGTAGATGCTGTTATGTCAGAAATTTTCATTTCTACATCACTTTTAAGATTATCATATTTACGATCCAAGGTTATTCCAGCCTCTGCCATTTCATCGTCGAATGCTTGACGTGCATCGCGAGAAACATTACCTATTGTGGATTGTATTGCAGCTTGTAGGGCTAGAATTATGACATCCTTTGTTCCATTAATTCCCCCTCAAGATATGATACAGTTATACAATCACTCTTGTCAATTGGTTCGCTTGTATTTTTCAATATTTTTCTTTGCATGTCATAATGACCATCTTTTGTTGATTCAAATCCATTACCGGGAGGATCTCGAATGACATTACCACCCCATTTCCTTCTTCTACCAAATTTATCGATTGTTTTAGACATTGTTCACCCACGATGATTCTATTCAAACTGATATTCCTTTCATTTACATTATACATTACATTGCAGTATTTGGTTGAGTGAATAGAAATAAAACAAATGAATTTTTTATCATTTTTATATTCATCAAAGTAATACATATACATATACAATACATTAATATCACATTACAGTTTGCTATACATTATTATTTATTTATGAATACCTACATGAACATCGAAATTCAAGTTTTCGGTTTTAAAGACATTGAATGGTATTTCAGTTGTTGATCTCGACAGACAATGAATCAATCAGTTGATTCAGTGGACTCTCCTGAACTTGTGATTGTTGAATAATATTAGTTATCCAACGAATGTTATCATTCGGATCGTTTTGATAAAATTCAATATCATTATGATGAATTTTTTATCGTCATGGTATGATAATGCAACTTTTTTTTCAATTCAGTGTACATATCATGCAACACGCTTCTGAATTTATTCATCTTTCTGAATATCATACCAACATGTTCGACGATCTTCGCATGTCAATTCATTCTTTATAACCCATTGTTTCACCCCTTTAGCTTACTTAAATTCACCATCAACAGAATCCACATAATACGCTTTTGCACCTGTACCATAAAAGCTCATGATTGGATCATTCGGAAATTCGTTTTTGAAGTTACCCAAGACTGAACTTTTTACTGAAATATTGAATTGGTTAACTATACTGTAATAGGATATATCAAACCTACTTATGTTAGTTTTCATGAATTCATGAAAATTTTCTGTATTCACTTTCAGAATGAGCGAGTCGGTATCTGTATGAAGTGAAGAGACATTTTCACCAAAGTGTTCTTTGATGCATCTATAGAAAAATTCATACATGACTGTTTTAGATATTTCTAATATAGAAAATCACAAATATAATGGTTTATCGTAATCGACTTCAACTTTACCCAATTGAATGGAAACGAAATTATCTGTGAAAATTGAACAAATTTTGAAATTTGGTCTGGATATGAGAGTGCTACCTATATTTTTCTTTATATTTTCCCAATGTGTAACGAGTCTAACATCAATTCTGTTATCAATATTCTCCATTGTCTTTCCATATACCGCATTATTCATTAGTTTATAGAAATCTTCAACAGATTTGTTGTTAGACCTATTACACATATCAGTATTAACATTTATATAGGGTTTCATCCAACGTGATTGTTTGAATTTCAATACTCTATGTGTATTCATTACAATCAAACCATTTTGGATGGCTTGCTGTAGATTTCTCTAATGAACAATATATTTCCTTTTATCATTCAAATTTGAAATTAATTTGGGAATTTTCGATTGTGTACGAGGTGGTATTAATTTTTCAACCAAAAATGGAAGATCAGAATGTTTATTATGCAACTCTTGTGAATGATGAATGTCCACTTCAAACACATACCCATACGGACAATCAGCACTCACATTCATCACATCAAGATTCAAAATTTCATTAGGTGTCAACCATGTAAATTCACTTGTTGGTAGAGGTCGTGACATACTATGACCGTATAGATTTGTTGCATCTAAATATGTTATGAATTTGGAAGGTTCATTGGGATTTTAATTTGATAAATATTTATTATTTGCTATATGTTTTCTCTCACTACACTGACTAATTCCACCTCGTATACCTTTTTGAAAAAAGTGAATCATATCAATGTCAGTTAGTAATTCCAATTCAATATTCGTATACTTCAACATAGCATCCCAAGATAATCCAGGTGCAGTGTAATAATATGCTGGGTCTAAGTTATATATCTCCAAACTTGTGGTGCGAAAGTTTTCAAAAATATCACATAATAGCAATACATCCGATTTCAAATACAAATCAGAGTATTCACCCAAATTCTGACACTCGAATAAATTTCACACATTTCTAGCCCTATCGTAATCATTTTCTGATATATGTTCACAACTGCGTTTGTCATAAAACTGATTTTTTGTCGGAAGTGATGGATAATCCAATGTGTCAATGTTATCAACGAAACTTTATGGAAATACACCTTTCTGTCTCATCAAATAGAATTACTCGATTTGTGGGAAATGTTTATGCATCTCCAAACATTGATCGGAGGTCAAGTTAGTACACAACTTCTTAAACGAATTAGTCATAAATTTATAACTATCGATAAATCTCATTTTGAGATATTTCTTCTCAACCATACCATCTTTATCGGTAAAGGTGTGTGTAAAGAGATGCTTCGTGAAAGATATATATTTCTCTTTTGTTCGCGGGATGACATCAACTTTCTCGAATCTTTCTTCGAATCTTTCAATATTCTCATTATCAACTTCAACCGGAAAATCCATATCTGTGACATCTAAAATATTGTAAAAATGTGGATATGACTAAACTTCGGACACTTTACCATTTGCAGGATATAATACTGATTTTATAGCCCAAGCAATACAGTGTCGATCTCTGTTACGAACATTCACGACAGCTTTCCTCCATTCAATGCATTCGAGCAACTTCACATATGAACGTCTTCCCAGTGGACTGTATTCATTGATGTTGACCTCGAGAAACATTATTTGCCCACAAGTCCAATCTAAATTACAAAAAAATGAATATTTCTATTCAATCTCGTTGGAATTCACAAAAAATAAATACTCGAGTCACGTTCCTGGAATTCAGTCGTTTGAGCCACAATAACATCGCGGAATCCATCAAAAACTGCATTCAAATCAGAAGATTGGTCCATTATTTTATTTTGGGAATCAAATGACTTCGTGTCCCTTGAATCTTGAGTCTGAAGAATATAATTCCCAAAAACTTCCATATTCACTTTTATGATTTCATGGATCCTGATGGCAGATTCCACCAAGGCCCTCCTTGGCAACTCTGAAGCTGATGCCGCCGAAGATTATCACTACGAGTTGAAGATTCACCACAGTCACAGGAATACATTTTCTATGATACGTTCTCACTAACTCACTTGATGTAAACTGACATAACCAACACTCGTCCGCTTCTTAAATACAGTCTGATCGAGTCCGTCAAGATTTCATAGCCAACCCCACCTCTCAGCTATATGCGCCAACCCAACATCTCAACTGGACGCGTTAACAGATATCGATACGAACAGACTGTGGTTGTTGCGCTCTCGTAGACGTTAACACAGTCCTCGCTGCCTGCGCGTCACCATCGATAGCGAGGGTGGAGCGATGCGATACGTCATAGCATTCGCCACATCGAGAGAGGTGAGGACACACCGATGAATACGCATTACTCAGCCACACGCCGTGGAGTGAACATCCCACTCTCCTATCGTTGAACGGTTGCTGCTGTGACGTCACACCACTACTAACTTGGTGGGCTCACACCGATGGAACATTCATTTCTTGGAAGATCTTTGTGTTATGCAGACGTATGTTTGTACACAGACACGCACATGATAAACCCTGTACCGTGCATTCTCACATACATACACATATCAACCAAATGTAATTACGTCGTTATGTCACACACACACACACACAAAATCTCATATGAAAAAAATTCTGAATGATCCATGTACCAGACACTTCGAAGTCACATCGCCTTGATTTTACTTAACCAAAAAAAAAGCAATTAATACGTCATAGTGGTGAGGGGAGGCCCAGAAACGGCTGTAATCTGCTACTCCCAATAAATCCAATATTGTTATGTAGGTGGTCAATTTGGATGGATGACATTTCGTCCGAAGTCTAATTCTTGATTGCGATAGAAATCACTTGCATCCTTATTTTCCATTGCAATAGAATTCGATCCAGATTCAATGATTTTAATTGGAGATTTTTCCAGTTATGTAAGAATGTAAGATGCTCTATTGAGTGATATCTATATGAGACCTACCCTACACTGATGAGGAGAAAAACTCCGAAACCAGTATAACTCGTTTCGGGAAATGTAATATAAATCGCCCTAAAGGCTGTCTTCATGAAAACATGTTCTTGCTGAATTGATTCGACTCAGTTCAGTAGCTGTTGTGGTACCATCATTTCTGTTTTCTCTGAATCAAACCATATATTTGCAATCATGCTGAATTAATGTTATGTACTGACTTCAATTTATATTTTATATATCTGTTGCGGTCACAATTCATTGAAGACAATGGCAGTTAGAAAGACCTAAATATAAACCAAAGCATATCATTCCTCTACATAATTTTTCATCTTCCATTATTAGAACGAAATAAAGAACCATTCGATAGTACAAAACAGAAGTATCTTTCATTTTAATACGCATGATGATGCCGTGATTCTTTCCAGAAGACACTTGTTTAGTAGCATACGATCTTTTTCGAGAATATGTTAGTTATTCCATTCTGTATTCTTCTAAAACATCGGGTGGAGACGAGGTGGTCCAGGTCCTAATATTTTTGAAAAAAAAAATTGTTTGGACGAGTTGCAGATGATTTTGTCTTTGAAATGTTTCGAAGTTTATCTAGGAAAAATATTAT